TTTTTTTTTTTTTTTTTTTTTTTTTTTTCCCCCCCCCCCCCCCCCGATTGATTATCCGGGATTTTCGTTTGGAAAAAAAAAATGAAAGAAAAAAAACCAGCAATTTCAGCCACGAAACGAAATCAGCCGTGAAACGAAACGCTCAGCGACAGACCAATATCTTCACGACGATTCACACAATCATTTGTTTGTTTTCTTTGATGATTTCTCCCCCCGAAAGACAAAGAATCCTTCTCGACGATTTCACGAGAGTGTTCTTCGCCCTCAGCATTTTGCAGTCTGTCTCGATTTTTCTGTCTCTTCCTCTCTCTTTCTTTTACTCTATTTTTCTCTATTTTTCTTTATCTCTCTCTCCCTTTCATTCTCTCTCTCTCCGACGTCTCTGAGAAACAAAAACACTTTGTACATTGTTTTGCGGGAATTGACGGCTCGCCTCGGCGAGGGGCGTCGCCTCGTCGACGTGAAATACAGCCGACGACATCGTCAGAAAAACGCGAAAGTTCGCCGAGAATTTTCGAGCCGACGAGAGCGACGCCTCCGTCGACCGCGACGGACGGTTGCTGCGTTCATTTTCGATTGCATTCTCTCTCCCTCCCTCTCTCTCTTTCTCTCTCCGTCGAAACGACGTTCATTCTTTTCGTCTCTCTCTCTCTCTCTCTCTCTTTCCCCCACGTCGATAATTAGGGGAAGTAGCATGCGCACTAACTCTTCTCGAAACTTGTACATAGAAACACACGACTTTTATCGCTTGCGCGTCGAAGGGAACAGACCGTCGAAGCGCGGGCCCTTTTTAAAGGGCCTTACAATCCTCTCTTTCAACCCTGTCAGCGATTCTCGGAGCATCGGAGGCTCGAATAAGACGCGAATAAAACGTAAAAAGTCGATCGATTCGCGCGGCGCGATTATTATTATTATTAAACAGAGGCGCGTCGTTCTGTTTCCTTCGCCGCGCGCACAGATTCGCCGCTCCTTTTCTCTTCGTATGCGAAATTCATAGCTAGCTGCTTGGGGTTCGAATTACCGTAGGGATTACAGACACACGTCCGTGCATATATATTTTTTGCTCTCTCCTACATCCAACAGAATAATCAATCTCTCTCGAGCACGCAGAGACGGACTCGACGAGGAATCGTCGACGGCGAGCTCCGCGAACGCCGATTCCTCGTCGGCGTCCCAGCGCGCGCCTTCTTTCAGGACCGCACCACGCCGCGACAGGTATCTTCTGTTCCGAGAAAATTCAATGTCTCCCCATAAAATAAAATAAAATAAAAGAAAGAGGAATCTAAGGAAGAGAGAGAGCTTCTCGTTCGTCGCGAACCGGAAGATACCTTCGTTCCGCCGGGCGGGGCGGCGGCGGCTTTCAGAAACGTGGCCGCGCGCGTTCGCTGAAACGAAACACGCGCGAGCAAAGAGTCGCCTTAAAAAATAATAACCAAACGATACTGAGCCAACCCTCTTAGCACCTAAGCCTCCGATTTAACGAGATAAGTCCGACACGCGCGTATAGTATGAGAGTTAATCGTTTCAGAGAGACCCGGGGATCGGTACTGTCGACGCCCGCGTCTTGCGAGCACAAAAAACAAACAAAAAAAAGCAAAAAAACCGCACCATAAAAGCAAACAGCAACGCAGAGCGACAAGCGATGCAACAGGCAAACAGCTAAACGAACAAACCAAAAAGTACAAAAAAAAAAAACAGCAAAAAGCAACCGAAAACCGAGTCGAAGCCAAAATAAAACGAAAAGCCAGTATAAAGAAACCGAAACGAACGAAAAAAAGCGAATTCCCAGGATCAATAAATAAATAAACAAATAAACAAATAAATAAATAAATAAAAAAGACCGTCCGATCCTCTGTTGGTATCGTAGAACCCTAACTAATAAAGCCGTGAAATCCTGTGTTCCAGCCGAGGACCTGAGCATCACCGGGCTGAAATGGGCAGCCGCCTGGCAGAGATGGAGCGTGCCGTCGATCATGTGGCGGTCCGGCGGCGGTTTGGGCAAGGGGATCGGCTCCGGCTCGTCGAACCCGGAGGGGTTCAACTGTCCCGCCTGCGGTAGGGTCTACAAGCTGAAGAGCAGCCTGAGGAACCATCAGAAATGGGAGTGCGGCAAGGAGCCACAGTTCCAGTGTCCCCATTGCGTCTACAGGGCGAAACAGAAGATGCACATCGCGCGGCACATGGAACGGATGCACAAAGAGAAGATCTACAAGCAGGAGCTCGTCTAAGGGTGGGGGGAGGAGTTGGGGGCGTGGCAGAGGGGGAGGAGAGATGGCGGAAGGGCGCGTGGGCGCGAGAGACTTCGAGGGGACCGCCGTCGACGTCGTCGTCGTCGGGCCGCGCGGGCGGCCTCGACGGGAACAAACGGAGAGCTGGAGCGTCGCTCGCGTCGCCGTCAACGTCGCCGTCGCCGTCGTCGTCGTCGTCGTCGTCGTCGTCGTCGTCGACCTCTCTTCCGCGCTCGGTCAACGTTCCTCGACGGTCGCTGGAGAAGACCGATCGCAACGGGGACGCTAATACGCGTGGAAGAAAGAAAGAGAGAGAGAGAGAGAGAGAAAGTGTGCGTGTGAAAGAGGGGGAGAGAGAGAGAGAGAGGGGGGCGCTGGAGAACGACGAAGAGGATCTCGAAGGTAACTCGGAGCGAGAGACGCGAGGACGACGGGACGTGGCTGGACGGAGAGAGCGGGGCGCAACTGCCAATCCTCCTTACTCGATTTTGGATTCTATTTTTTTAACGTTTTTTAAGGTTTATTATTATTAATTATTAATTCATTATTTTTATTTTTTTTTTTTTGCGTAACGAGATGTACCGCGTATGATGAACGAGGGAACGCGTCGATCTCCCGCTCGGGGCGATGCTTTCGGCGAACCGGAAACCCCGGCGTTTTCAGCGGCCGGAGAAGGGCCGCTCTTCAACGGCGGCGCACCGGTGTTCGCGGCATTCTTTCTTTGTACAGTTCGCGTTCTTTCTTTCCGACGAAAAGCGACCGTGCGTCGCGACGCGCGGACGCCGTTCGCGACCGGAAACGCGTGTTCAGGGGAACGGCGTGCGCGGGACGCGCACGGTCGCGCACTCTCTAGAGACAAGTTTACACAGCTTTTCTTTCTGTTTTTTTCTTTTTTTTTGTTTTGCGTTTATTCTTGAACGCGCGCGTTCGACGGATCCTCGAAGAGAAGCTAGCGAACTAAGAGAGAGAGAGAGAGAGAGAGAGAGAGAGCGATCCGGAACGCGGAACGCGGACCGCCGAATGCGCGCGTTATTAACTCTTTGGAACACACAGAGTCGTCGTCGTCGTCGCTTTTGTTATCGCGCGGCCCGCCCCGAGTCGGATTAAGACCGTCCGGTAAACCGGAGCTCTTCCATAGCAACCATTCTGGTCACACTGGTTCCATATTTTTAAACGGGCCGAGCCGTGCGCGTGTGGCTCACTGGGGACATCTAAAACTGAAAACGATCTACGAAAACCGCAAAGAGACACGATTTTTTTCGATTTATACTGAGAACCACTGTTCTATATATCCATAGGGCTGGAACGTTCCTCGATACCGGTACACGTGCTTCCTGTTGCCTAACACACACACACACACACACACACACACACGCGAATTCGCGCGCGCGCGTCTAAGCATACAAGTGCGCGCGCGCGTCGAAGCTACACTCTCGAGCGCGAGCGCGCCTAAGTCACACACACGAACTCACACACGCGCGCCTAAGCCACACACACGAGCGTGCGCGCGCGCCTAAGCACACACGAACTCACACGAGCGCGCGCGCGCGTCTACAATCGATACGTATGGATGTACGTACGTTCACATAGACACACATATATAGACACATAGGCACACACACAGAGAGAGAGAGATAGATACACACACACAGAGACCAGCAAACCCGACCGAGAAACAGTTCGTTCCAATGTCTCGCTCGACGACAAAATTTCAATGGACGCTGGTTCAATAGTTTCCCCCTCCGATGACATATATTTTCCACCTGTCCCATTTTGTTTTTCCGGGCCTTTTTCGTAAAAGGCAGCCATTTTATTATATTCCTTGTCGCTGACTTCGCGCGGCGAACCAGAGAGACGGTACAGTATTAAAGCACCGGGCTCGCACGAGCCCCGCGCCTTTGCTTCTCGCTACAAATGCTTCCTTCCATTTCCGCAGAACCACTAAGGGACTAACACTATGTAAGCGCGTCACAGAGTCAGAGAAAGAAAGAGAGAGAGATAGAGAAAGAGAAAGAAATAGAGAGAGAGAGAGAGAGAGAGAAAGATATACGTTACATGTATACAGAAAATACATAACAATACGTGTACGCGCGTACGCGGCTACACACACTATTTTTAAATACCGCGGGGTATTTCCTATAGCATTGTGATCGTCAGACTGCCAGATACACGAACCTAGTAGATTCCTATATCGATGCATTTAAGTATATATATTTATATTATATAATACGTATAATTAATGCTTTCTAATTAAGCGTCCTCGAGTTAAGACCCCACATCGCGTTTCTCTTCATAACGATGAATATTCTCTTCACCCCCCCCCCTCACTCCCTCCTGCCCCTCACTCCGCTACCCATCTCATGCCACCGGACCCAATTTTTCACTGCCGATATTTTTATCCTAGAAAAACACGCACACAGATCCGATCGATGGAACGTTCACAGCGATTTATATATATATATATATATATTTATGTATGTATATTTGTGTGCCGAACACGGGCGCTAATCACAGACACACACATACACACTCTCTTTTACGCACACTTATTTCCACCGACGAGATAAATCCGCCGTCGGAGCGTTTCCGACGCGACGAACGGGACCGACGTGTCGCGTGCTCTACCGGGTCGTTTCGATCGAAGAATCCCGGCGACGCGTGTTCGAATTTTCAAGCATTCGGACTGGCGAAGCTTTTGGGACGAAGGAAATTATCAGAGCTTGCGTTAAACTTTGCGAAACTTGTACACGGACTTTGTCAACGTTGTGCCTCCTAGTCGCGAACCAGCATTGATGTTGGTGTTGCATTATTTTCGAACGGTTTACAGTGGTATTTAGGTCGATGCATCGAGGAACGATCAATAGAGCACGCCGACCCGGCCGGTTCCTTTATTGTACAGGCTGTCCGGAATGTGTATCGGTCGCGGAAGATTCCTCGGGTGATTTCGAGCAACTTTTTCCTTTGCGAAATTGCGATCCGAGGCTTCGTTTACGAGTTATCGACGAAAAATGCTGGTCAATTAGACGTCGCGCACGGCTCGCGCCACGCCCCCGCGACCACCGTCGCTGCGCCGGACGGCCGGCGCGACGCGCGAGGGCGGAGCGTCGACCGCGCTCGCGCCTCGATTGGTCCACGTTTACTCGTTGATAACTCGTGAACGAAGCCGCGCAGAGAATTTCTGTAAAGGAAAAAGTTGCTGCAAATGATCTCGGGAACCCGGATTTCCGGATTGCGAGACGTTTTTCGGACAGCGTGTGGAAACGTCTTCTACACGAAGTTCTTCCAGTTTAGGTAACCGCACCGTGCTATCGTCGCTACGCTACGCTATTCTCTGTCGAACGCGACTTCGTTGCGATTCTTTTGGGCCATGTTTCTCTCGCTTTGTCTATCGACTGTGCCGTGCCCGACTTTGTCCGGCGTCGGCCCGCCGTGTAGACGGATTGAGAGAAACAGAAGGAACCGTAACGAAGATAATTGTGCAGCCGAACCCGAGATTACCGAATCGCGAGGTTGTACGAGCTAGTTGCTCAACTTTTTTTTTAGCGATTTTTAGTACTTCATCGGTAATTTACGATTCGAGGCATGAGATTCTGAGATTTCAAGATTATTGGAATTATAAAAGTCTTCTTTATTCGAACATATGTTGCAATGGAAATTGCACGAAGTGCGATTTATCATTGTTATAAAATTGCATAAATTAGTCGCGTTCAGAGCCTGGCATTTTTAGGGTTAAATAATCTCTCGAGCAAGCCAGTCTCGTGTATTGAAATTTACTAGTTTCAAAAATTTTCCAATTACTTTGGACGCTGTTTTACTAAAGAAGGATTAGTATTAACAAATTCTCGATCGAAATGTCCACAAATCAGAGTTCGGTGAAATATTATTCGAAGGAACAACATTGTCTTCGACGTTATCGAGTAAAGGGTTTAAAGAATTTAAAGAGTAAGGATTTATCTGGAGATGACAATTTAAACGAATAACATTATTCGAATAAAAATACATTCGAATGGAAATCCGTTCGAATAAAAATTCATTCGAATAGAAAGTTATTCTTGTTGCTCGAACAAGCATTTATTTGTACAGGAATTAATTCGAAGAACAATCGATTCTATGTTAATTTATACAATTAACATTCTTCTTAAATTGCTGCATCCGAAAATTGTTTACTTTCGGATAGATTAATTTGCACATTGTTCTCATTTTAATTAATAATTAATTAATATTCTTAAAAAAAAAACTAGAAACAGCAAACTAGTCAAACTGGTTTCTGATTTTTTTTCTTTCACAAGCATTGATAATGTAAAAAAATATTTGTATGAGAAATCTTTACACGAATTTCTTTGTTCAAGCGTATGTTGCAATATAAAAATTATAGGAAGTTTAAATAAACTTAATCTTATTATTGTTATGAAACAATATAGATTTAGGATTCGGTGGTTCTAGTGTGAAACAATTACGTCGAAAAAAGAAGACGGTCGAATAAAAGGAATTCGCTCGAATAATCTTGGAGATTCGAATAAAAATTCATTCTCCAATCAGAATTCATTCTCGAATCAAAATTTATTTGAATAAAAATTCGTTCGAATAGTCTTGGAGATTCGAATAAAAATTAATTCTCGAATCAAAATTTATTCGAATAAAAATTCGTTAGAATAGTCTTGGAGATTCGAGTAAAAATTCATTCTCGAATCAAAATATATTTTCATAAAAATTCATTCGTATACAAATTCGTTCGAACAATTCGAACTTAAATCACTCGAATTCAAAGAACAATCGATTAAGTAATCGAAAAATCATAGAATATGCTATTCCTCCACAGATAATTAATCAATCTATTCCACGTTAATTATTACAATTAACATATTTCCACAACTTCGAAGAAATTCGTTCGAATAATCTCAAAAAAAAAATTAATTCGAAACGATTCGAACGCAGAGCTCTGCTACGAATGAAGTACTAATATATACATCGACTAACTCGATAGAATCGAGACTGTCGAG